CGGACTTGCCAGGATCCCTGGGGGTTCTGCCATGCAATTCCCGGCCCTGTACGCCCGTTCTCTAGCCGTGAGCCATCGGACCATAAGGTGAGCCCTGGGCGGGCCCTCTGGGCTGCCGGGATTGCTTCTTCCATTGGCAAGACCTTGATCTGGCCTGGGAATGGTCCGGCCGGTGTCCACATAGTTTCTTCGAAGCCCTCAGATGGGTCGACTGGCAGGGTCTCTGCCAGTCGCCGTGCCAGGTGCTGCCCTAGTGACCATGGGCCCCGACTGCTGGTTTCTGCCCATGCCCGATCCCTTAGTGGCTGCTCGCCAGGCTGAGCATGCTGATCCCCCTCCCAGAGAGTCATTGGGAGAATTCGTTTTGCTAGGTGATCTTGTCGTATCTGGCTTGCTTTTCTCTAATAACCCCAAATTTGATTCTTTGTTTAATTACTTGAACTCATTCTCAGTAAAGTCGTGTGGTAAATTTAGATACCTGTATTTGACGAGTTAGGGAAAGATTGTGCAGGAAACATTGCAGACTCCTTTTTAATAATGAGTAAACAGCAAACAGCGTCACTCGTGAACTCGATTTCCAACCCACGTCTAGTAATTATTAGCATTTAAATAGCAGAGGTCCTTTCAAGTGCAAAACATTTAGAGTTTGCTGACGTCTGGTTGCTGCGAGCCGATTTCTTTTCAGCACTGATCCGGTTTGGTTACTGCGAGCAGGTTTTGGGCCTGGATCACATTAGTGTGATCAATCAACCAGATATAAAGTGTTTAAGACAGGAGTAGTGTTGACTTCAGGATCCCTACCTAAAGAACTTCTGCACCTTACAAAGAGTCACTTTGGTGTTACTTGTCAGCTGGCCCCTTTTATTAGAGTTCACTATTTGTTGCCATGGACAAACGTGGAAACCGCACGACACGCCTCCCTGAGGACTTAAAAGATATCGAGCTATCAGACACCATTGCGACCACTGACGAAGCAAAGCAATCTCGGCTGGATCCGGGTAAGGATAGTCTTGCACAGCGCCGTTTTCCTATAAGGCTTGATCCAGAGTCATTCAGACAAAGGACGCTTCAAGCAAAGAAGTTCCAAGGCAATTACAAGAGATTTTGGAATATCAAGCAGGCTGGTCCGGGGATAGTCGCCATTAAAGATGTCGAACCGCTACCGATCGTCTTGATCAAGGAACGCGAAACTACTAAATTTATTAAAACCCAATTAAAAAAGGTATCACATAAGAACGTGTTAAGCCTCCTGGACTTTTTCCACGACTCGGATAAGGTTACTCTGGTGTACGAGTACGAACATTCAGCTGTTGCACTGGCCAGATTATCTAATACTCCAAATGTGGTATTCAGCGAAGGGGACATTGCCACTGTGTGCCGGGAAGTTCTCAATGGTCTTCATTATATACATTCAGAGCTGAAAATCATCCATGGGTCTCTAAATTGCATTAATGTTCTCCTGACGATGACAGCAGAGGTCAAGATTGGTGAGCAGCTTATCCTCGAGAACTAAGACTTAGTTGACTGACTACCTCTAGCAAATATAGGAGATAGCATGCTGAGTGGGAAAACATTGAGAGACCGTCAATGTGACATCAAGGCAGTGGGAGATATTGCAAGTGACCTTAGCGATCCTCCAGCAAGGCCAGAAGGATATGGCTCAGTTCGTAGAGTGCCCGAGAAGGCCACGTACATGACGCGTCAATTTATTGAGAAGACAACCGGGGCAACAATCCAAGAGCTGTTGGAGGTAAGTACTAATCTGTGACAAAATTTGGGACGAGAATACTAATTTAATATTCATTTGTAAAATAAAAGCATGATTTTATATTGGCGGCCACACCTTCTGGCTCTTGGAGCCTAACACCTCACATTTTGAAAGCTGTTCCATTTGGTGCCAAATTTGGAGATTACGTTGGTGAAGCTTCTGTGTAAACAGTCTCCAAAATGGTAACTGATTTATAAACTCGACCACCTGGATCGGGAGACTGAACTGATTATAAAAAAAGATAGTGCAGTCCAAATACACTTACTAGTCTAGAAAGACTTGGAAGTCTGAAAAGACTTAAAGTATATAGAGACTCAGTAGTCTAAAAAAAGTCAGCAGTCTGAAGAGACCCGTAGTCTAGAAAGACCCTGCAGTCTGAAGACACTAACACTCTGAAGAGACTAACACATCTGAAGGGACTTAACACTCTGAAGAGACTAACACATCTGAAGGGACTTAACAGTCTGAAGAGACTCAGCAGTCTGAAGAGACTCGACAGTCTGAAGAGACTCAGCAGTCTGAAGAGACTCGACAGTCTGAAGAGACTCAGCAGTCTGAAGAGACTCAGCAGTCTGAAGAGACTTAAAGTCTAGACTCTGTAGTCCAAAAAGTGAGCAGTCCAAAGAGACCTACAGTCTAGAGAGACCCAGCAGTCTGAAGAGACTCAGAAGTCTCAAGGGACCTGTAGCCTGGATTCGGTAGTCTGAAGAGACCCATAATCTAAAAAGGACTTGGCAGTCTAAGGGAGATGATTACAGACCTGTCGCCGAACAGGAATGGCTCGCAGCAAAACGGATCGCAATGAAATGTGCTGCAGTATAAGTTTGTCCTGGCTCACAATTAGACGTCAATTCAAATTAATAGTCTGACATTCAGCTTGCAAAATGGATTCCTCCTCCTTCAATGCACTTGGCCAAAGGACGGACCAAATTATTCAAGAAAGATTACGTTTTTATCGAGGCTGCGCAAAAGTGGAATTGCGCCATTTGGTGTTTGATAGTGACGATGTGCTGGGTTCTCGACCACTAGATAGGAGCAACGTGGGAAGATTGGTCAATATTTTCAACATCGAAGGGTGTTCTCATTTCGAACCAGAGCACCGTGTGGCTGCAATCATCAGCGAGGATACCTTGAATAGAAGTCTTTTACGCTCCAATACAACACAAGAAGCTCTTCTTGATGTTGTCGACCCGCCCATGCTGGTTTTTGAAGACAATACCAAACTACTGTGTCCCTATGGCAAACATCGTCTCAAAGCCGCAGAGGAGTACGGAGAGGGTTGGTGGCTAGTGGAATTATATCTAGATGGTACCGTTACCTTTGAGGGAGACCTGCATAATACATGCTAACTGAGCTGAAAGCTCTGCCTCCTGAGGCGTTGACCCAACTAAGAGAGGAATCCTCCAATGCGCGGAATTTCAAAGATGGTGAGATATATCGGATCTACAGACAGTATGAGCTTCTTAACGACACTACACAAGCAAGAAAGTGGTGGGCAAAGTTTGAGTCCGACGATCGAAGGAAGGACTTTCGACGACTGCTCAGTAACAGCCTCCTTCGCGAAGGATTCGACCGGCTGCTGCCCTACATTGGGATCTGGGACCCGTTAAAGTCAACCCAAGTTGAACGAATTTTGGGAATGCGATGCCATGAGGTACATCTGGGCTGCCTACTCAAAGTTCTTTCCTCAACACTGACCAAAACGACTTAGGAGGTCTATCACTATTTAGACAACATTTACCAGATTTGGTCGACTCTCTTCTCTAAGGAAAAGGCGTCCTATGTTGATCCCACTTCTGTACGGCTCTTGGAGGGCCTTATGCCGCAGTATTCCCACAGCGACCAAAATCGAATCATGGAGCTGATGGAATCTGGACAGCTCTTTCCTCTCGTTCCTGGGGTAGAAGAAAGGAGAGCGCTTTTGGATCGATTGCTTGCGACCTCTGGAAGAATTCTCTCACTCAACACTCTAATACATGACACACTTTATCTGGAGCGGCCTGCAAGGGCATTTCGCAGCCTTCTCCCTCAAAAGTTCAAGGGATCGCTGAAACATGCCATGCTAAGACAGCATCAACCCCGGGGAACCCCTGGACAGTGTGAAATACAGATTTCGGAACATGAATTCAAAACTGTGCAGGTTTGGGGGAGCTCTTTCTTGCTCGTTATGATGCAACTGTGGCTGTTCGCTCTAAGACATTTCGTTTCGCCGCACATGGAACGAAAATCAAAACAGGAAGCAGCAGACTGGCCAATAGAGCCTCGATCTCTAAGCAAGATGGCAATCTTGGCTGACAGATTTGGTTTTACTTCAGATAAGATGAAGGAGCTTCGACAAACAGACTTCGATGAAGCAACTATAGAACACTTTCTGCGCGCCATCTGCAGGGAAGAGTTTTACATGGTCGAAGATAGCAAGATCAGGTTAATGGCACTACGATTCAAGGAATATTTGCGGAACTTGTCTAGGCACCAAGAAAAGCCACGAGGCACACCAGTGTTTTCCACGGATGATCCTGATAAAATGGCCCATCGCAGATACAATAGCCCCCGTTTGGACGAATATGAGAGGGACAGAACGTACCTCTTTATCGAGCATATATACAGTCCAAGTCAGCCTCCAGGACAGTATCCAACTTCCTTTGCCGTCACCAGAGAAATCTTCTTCTCGTTTTTCGGGAGAGAACCCCCCTACACAATACTATCACAAAGGGATGCCTCTGTGCCACCTGCCCCTGCTCAAGCCGAAGACGCAGACAGTCAACAGGCCAATGAAAGCACAACTAGTCCGCAACCTACAGCGACGGGCAATACTCCAGTACAGGACAACGAAGGAGGTGAAAGAATAGCAACGCACTCTGAGTTACCGGAGATTGTAGTGTCAGAACCTGTTGATCTCGAACCTCATCCTCCAGGTACTCCTGATCGTTTGATGGAAGGGGTTGAGTTTGATCCACCATTGGCACACGGGTTCGAGGATCACACGTGCAAGGCCCCATTGGAGAAAAGAGCAGAGATATCTCTTCATCGAAGCGCAACCCAGGTCCTTGATATGTGGCGTGAGTCCGATAACAGAGACCTCATTGTGCTTTATATGTTTGAGTCCCGAAGATATATCAAGTTTCTTGCTCAGGGTGGACTGAACTTACAGTTGACCTTGGATGATCTCGGGCGAGATCACTATTTCCTTACTATCAAAGGGGATGAGGTGGAGGTTCCGGAAAATGTATATGAGGGTGCTTTAGAAAAGCGACTTGTCTTGGTTGGCAGAAAGAATGCCCGGAGCCGTGGAATCAGGGACGGATATGGACAAATCTCCCTAAGTGAGTTGCGAAAATACTTGTCCGCGTATGATGTCCGGACTGGAAAGAGGAAACTTGAAGAAGACGATAATTATCCAGAGCCAGACAAACCGTCATCTTCCCGGTTGAGGATCTTATGATGTTATAGTTTGTATTTTAGCAACAGCTATTCAATTGCTGTCTTTGTCTTTGTGGCCAGGCGTCCGTTGTCTTCCTAATGCCATGAGATCCTAACATTCCAGGCATGCCCTCGAACACCATGTAATGCTTAATAAGAGAATGGCTATTGTTGTTTGTCCCTACAATGGATAGTTCTGCATTAAGACGATTTCGACACCTTGCTATATAGTCGAGATATTATTTACTCAGACCTACATCCGAGAAACGTCATGCTGACCAACACAGCTGGATCCGATGAGCAAAGACCAGTCATCTTTATCGATTTTGGTGACGCTCGTTTCCATGTGACAAAATTTCACAGAACTTACATCTCTCTTTTTGCTACGGTGGCATGAAGCACATCGCCTTATCTCTACCTTTGATTTTGACTCCTGGGTCGACTGGGACTGGCAGTCCTGGCTTGAGGAAGAGTATGGACACACCGCCGCGTCGATAACGGAAGAAATGCGAGATTGGTTTCTTTCGGACTCCCTTCTCAATCCCCTGCTACCGTGGAACTACTGATGAAGGGGCTGACCTCGCAGAGATCCTATCCTGCATCATCCCCAGTTTGTCGTCAGTTTGGAGTTGTGTTGGATTTGAAAACCAGGTTACCAGTAACATCCGACCCAATCAAGGTTCCCATTTTTCGAAACTCGGCAACTCTTCCCTCGCTGGCACGAGGTGATAAGGCAGATGTGAGTGTCCTGCCACTTGGCTTCGTTGGACGTCTTATAATTTGGGAGACTAGTTTCCTGTAGAATAAATAACCAAGCCTTATATGAAGAGACCTGGTTTCATGTAATCAGGCGCCGATAGGAGGTTAGTCTCTCGTATCTATCTATTCATCCTGAATTTTACCCCACATGCGTTCAACTCATTCAGCTAACTATAAACTCTTATGGAGTCAATTCACTTCAGCGATTGCATTGATTCTCAGCTAACATTCTGAACTATCATAGATAACACTGAGATAGATAACTTCCACGGGCCCAGCCCGCTGACTTGGAAAAGCGTTTCGCAAAAAAAAATCACGACAAAAGAAATTGCAAGCGAACGGATTGCTGGATCGATATTGGCCAAGTTGGTAAAATATCAAATTATATCTTTTCTCCTGCCAGCATTGTCTCGAGTTGGCGGTCACTTTTGATTCATCATTTTCAGCATCATTTCTTTCATTTCGGATATATCACTTCGTAGTAATTTCAAGTCGTTCACCTCCCGACGGAGGCTGGTAACTTCCTCCTTGATTGTCTTGTC